CTCTTGCTCTCTCTCTCTGACAAATAAATAAAATCTTAAAAAAAAAAAAGAGTGACTAGAAATAAGAGGTGAAGAGTTTTCTAGGTGGAGCAGGGAAAACATGTGCAAAGTCACTGTGTATTTGAAAAACTGAAAGAAGAGCAGTGTAGTTGAAGTACAGAGTTGGGGAGAGCCTGAGTTGAATCCAGAGAGGTCGTTAGAGTCAGGCCACTCAGGTCCTATATCCTAAGCGCTATGGAAATCGTATGATTACAGTATGACCAAATCTATGTTTTGAAAAGATCTCCTGGAGTTCAGTGTGGAAAATGAGCTAATTTGTGTGTATACTGTGAGGGAGGGGTTCAACTTCATTCTTTTTAATGTGGATATCAGTCATCATCCCAGCACAATTTGTTGAAAAGACTATTCTTATTGAATTGTCTGAGCACTCTAGTTGGAGATCAATTGACCATAATGTGAAGATTTCTGGACTCTAATCTATATGCCTGTCCTTATGGCAGTACCACACTGTCTTCATTGCTGTAGCCTTATAGTAAGTTTTCAAATTGGGAAATATGAGTCCTTCAACTTTGTTATTTTTTTCAAGATTGTTTTGGGTCTTCATCTGGATAGATGAATGGGTGTGGGACTCAGTTTAATGGTGTATCCTAAAATCCCACCACAGCTAAATAAGAGGTTGGAGAGGTGTGGTTCCTTTCATGTGAAGCATAGACAATTTTTACTCAAACCACTAACAAAAATACAACTCCCAGTCTCTTATTTAGCCCTGACAGTATTTTAGTGGGTGAATGGTTCAGGTGAAACAGGTAAGTGGAATATATGGTTGACAGCTGTCTCTGAGTATCCAGCAGAGCCAGGATAACCATCTGGCAGAGCTGACCCTTCTGGGCCCCGTGGGAGAGGGAGTTTGAGACTCTGTTTGCCCTGTAGCTCTTATATCTGGCAATCCAGTGGCCTCCTGCTTATTCCTTCTGCTCCATGTATCTCAGGGAACTGGACCCTATCCTGACTGAGGTCACCCTCATGAATGCCCGCAGTGAGCTGTACTTACGCTTCCTCAGGAAGAGGATCAGCTCTGATTTCGAGGTGGGGGACTCCATGGCCTCAGAAGAAGTAAAGCAAGGTAAAAGGCATGTCCCATATTTTCTGGGAGGGCTAGGACAGAGTTGGCACTGTTTTCTAATGGTTAAGCCATAGATCTCGTAACAAGGAAATAACTAGGGCTTCTTAGCCACTGTGGTCTGTGGGCAAACTGACTCCCAAAAGGAAAGATAGACTTACTGAATATTAGAATTGGACTGGGTCTTTGAGGCCATTTAGTCATTTTACAAGTGAGGAAAGCTAATGCCCAGAATGGTTAAATTATTTTCCTCTGATCTTTTCTGCATACCATGTTTTCTCACCAGCTCTGATTTAGGGATTAGCATTTAATTTAAATACGTGATATAGAGCACCTGGCTGGCTTAGTCGGCAGAGCATGTGACTCTTGATGTTGGGATTGTGAGTTTGAGCCCTACATTGGGTGTAGAGATTACTTAAAAATAAAATCTTTAAAAATAATAATAATAAATAAAATAGGTGATTTGCACACATGATATATAGGTAGACAGAGCAAAAAGATATACTTAATTCCATAAGGGAACTTTTGGGAGTAATAGGAATTTCTAAAACTGGATTGTGGCTATTGTTACAAAACTCTATAAAGTTACTTTTAAAAAAAACATTGAAATATACACACACAAGGTGTGAATTTTATCGTATATAACACTTAAGGGGCGCCTGGGTGGCTCAGTTGGTTAAGCGTCTGCCTTCGGTTCAAGTCATGATCCCAGAGTCCTGGGATCAAGCTGTGCACACTTGCTCTCGTTCTCTCTCTCAAATAAATAAAATCTTTTAAAAAAAATAACACTTCAATACAGTATTGAGCCATAATATTGAGAAAAGAGTATATAGTTTAAAGAGTATATGAAAAGAGTACATAGTATAAAGAAAGCCTTTCACTCCCTCCCTCAGTCTCCCAATTCCCCCAGTCACAAGTTTTGAAGGGATAAATACATTGGAAAAAAATGTGTACCACAGTCCAGTTTCATTTACAAATTGATTCTCTGGATTTTTTAAGAAGACCATTTAATTCCTGCTGGTTAAGTATATGCAGGATTCTCTGAACTAGAGACTTGAAATTAACACAGCATCTGTGGCATTCTACGTGACTTATGTCAATAATACATGGCAAGGCAATTATTTATATGACCTAGTATGGTATTGCTTTGATTTGGTGCTTAAGGGAGGATGTATGCTTTTTTGGAGTTTGATGCGCATTACTATTCATAATGACTGTCACTGTTCAGAGCTGTGTGTCCAGTACAGTAGCTACCAGCCCCACGGGACTGTCTAAATTTACATTTAACTAAAATTAAGAATTCCGTTTCTCAGTTAACAGCCACATTTCAAGGGCTCAATAGTGGCTACCATATTAGACAACAAAGATACAGAACATTTTAATCATCACAGAAAATTCTGTTGGACAACACTGGTTTAGAGAATGAAATATAGTGTACCCGATATATTTCAGTCTTTGCCCTGAAAACTTAAGTATTTTAAGGCTTACTAATTAATTCTAATGGGAAAGAAGTAAAAAGTTCTTTGTACAGAAACATTTACTATGGGGCGCCTGGCTGGCTCAGTCAGTGAGTGTGCAACTCTTGATCTCAGGATTGTGAGTTCGAGCCCCATGTTGAGTACATAGATTACTTAAAGATAAAAATCTTTAAAAAAAATTACCATAATCTCCAAATACTGTGGTTTCCAGTTATCTCTAATAAGGACAAAACATTTAGAAATAACCCAGGTGTCTAAAGATAGAGTTTAAAAAAATGTTGACTATCTACGTAATAAAATATCACACAGCCATTAAAAATAAGTAAGCTTAGGGCACCTGGGTGGCTCAGTTGGTTAAGCAACTGCCTTCGGCTCAGGTCATGATCCTGGAGTCCCGGGATCGAGTCCCGCGTCGGGCTCCCTGC